GTGTCTCTGTGTGTGCGTGTGTCTCTGTCTCTGTGTGTCTTGTGTGTGTGTGTGTGTTTTCAGGCTTCACGAGCAGCTGAATGAATCTGATGACGCTGCACAATGCTACATCATCTACATCCAGGACATTTTCTCATGTGGTGTAAGTTACTGGATTTCAATTCATAAATATCTTGTTTTTATCTATTCTTTAATTAATAAAAAGTATCTGAGCACATCAACTATCATATGTAAGATTAAATAAGATGAAATATTTCCATTATGGGGTACCCAGATCTAACATTTCTTCAGCACCAAATAAAAATGACTGCAACACAATGTTTATAAAATGACATTTATTCAGATATAAAAAAATACTTGACTTAAAGTAGGATATCAGTACATTAATTTCTTGCCACTGAAGTGTACAGTTTGTACAGCGGGACATTCTCTCTTTGCTGTCAAATCCCTCCGAAATCATATTTACTCCCATAACTATATTAATTTGAAGTAATCATTCAATAAAGAGATCGATAAACGAACTAGAAAGAAATGTAAATGTTCATTGCCAGAATGGCTGGATTTTAGTACATGACCATAAAGAATGAAACTGGGTGCCTACTGACATTTGACACTTATTACAGTTTTCTGAAGTATTGATCTGCTGTAATGAAGTCTGTGAAGGACCTTAAACTGAATCAGATGATGCCTTACATTCACAGAACATGTACATTTCTCAAGCATTCATCCCACCTATTGTTCAAACCCGTGTCTTCTTCCCAGTCATGTTTTATTCTCTCTGTACTGTTCTCCACTTTTTCTAATAGTAACTTATAACAGTCTGACACATCACCACTCGCTCCGGGGCGTGCATTAACAATCGTCCCTGAAATAGGATTCAAACGCAAAACCTCAAAGTCTGGAATATGTTTTCTAACAAAATCTCTGACTTGTACATAACGGGAAAAATGTACAGAAGCAAGGTTATGGAGTTTATAATATGACAAAACTATTTGAATTTGTATTGTATAATTTTGAATTATTGACAAGTGGCATTTATCAAAACGGGATATTGTGCGGTATTTAATTAGATTTTTAAAAAACTTGAATATTGAGCATTTGAAATTTAACACAACTGAATTTTTTATTATAGCAGAGTTTTATAGATGTGTGTGTGTGTGTGTGTGTGTCTCAGGAGCAGCTGGAGCACGCCGAGGTCAGCACCGCTCTCAGGTATCTGGGTCAGTACTACTTCAAGAACAAGCTGTACGACGAGGCGTCTCTCTGCGCTCAGCGCTGCTGCGATTATAACGACGTGAGTTTCTCTTCATCAGCCCACTCACAACTCAGGGATGCAAACTTGTCACCTTCCCGGAAAAATTTTAATTTTGAATCCAAAATTGGTCATGTGAGTGATTCGTGTAGATCTGGTGTGTTCTTAAAATGGTCTTTTTACGAGAGGTCGACCCGTTCATCGGTTTTGCAGATTAATCGGCACCGATAGTTGATTGGCGGAACTATTGGTTATCGGCAAAAATCCATGCCGATAGTTTTCCGGGTTGCGTTATATATGCGTTAACAAATGTTAGCATATTTTTTACTTTTTGTAACAGTCGCTGGTATATCTTTGTTGTTCGATAATATTAGCATATATTAGGTTGTGTAGCATTTTTTTATTTTTTAAAGTTGATAGTATGTTGTCATGTTATTAGCAGGCGTTACATGTTTTATATAAACTGGTAGAATGTTTCTAGGAGTTGCTGGAAAGTTAAGATTATTAGGATGTTTTTTTTTTTTAAAGAAGTTGGCAGTATGGTAACGTGTTTTAACATGTTAGCATATCTTAGACAGTTAGCTGAAAGGCAAAACCGATGACTTGTGTGTGTGTGTGTTTAGATATGAATTAGTTTCTAGTTTAAATGGTGGATCAGAAGCAACATGATTAGAATCTGTAAACTGCAGCAAAGACTACCTACAGCCATATTTCGGAGAAAAATCATTTAGTTTAATAAATGCCTATTTATTTCCTCTTTGCTAGAATTTCTGCACCGTGGAACAGAGGCAAGTGTAATAATAAGTGGTGTAACTGGTTTGTAATGATTGGTTTTCAGGCACGAGAGGAAGGCAAGGCTTTGTTGAGGCAGATCTCTGCGGTGCGAGAGCAAGGAGAGCCTTCATCCACAGACCTGTCTTTACCCAGCGTCTTCAACCCACTGATCAAAAACTACAGCAAAGACTACCTACAGCCATATTTCGGAGAAAAATCATTTAGTTTAATAAATGCCTATTTATTTCCTCTTTGCTAGAATTTCTGCACCGTGGAACAGAGGCAAGTGTAATAATAAGTGGTGTAACTAGTTTGTAATGATTGGTTTTCAGGCACGAGAGGAAGGCAAGGCTTTGTTGAGGCAGATCTCTGCGGTGCGAGAGCAAGGAGAGCCTTCATCCACAGACCTGTCTTTACCCAGCGTCTTCAACCCACTGATCAACACCACCACACCCGTCAGGAGAGCGTCTCCACTCGACCTGTCCTCCGGCACACCCTGACACAACTGTTTGTACAGACAAAGGTGCCTGTTATATCAAATAAACTGATCAAACACTGACAGTAGAGTGTTTTATTACAAAATGCACCCATATTATACAGTAACAAACATCTCTAACCACAGCAACCTTCCCAAAGGCATGCAAAATGTGCAAAAGAGGAGCCAAAGCAAGAATGTAGTGCCACTTACAAACACGCCAAACACCTGCATGCGTATTTGGTGACAATAACACCGAATTCTTACTCATTCTCAAACGTTTTGAAACCGTTAAAGCAGCAACCATGAAAGAGTTTAATGAATAAGTTCTGTTCAGCTTTACATATAACATATTTGGAAGACAATCGGAATGTAGGTTACTATTTGGAATCAATGCTTCTATCTTGCTTAGTTTTGATTTGGTTTGCAAATGTAAAACAGCATGCAGGGAGAATAAAACAGGTAATAGCCTTTGCTCTTCAAATGAGTTTCACAATAGAAACACAATTTAAAAACTCCCATCAGAGCAAGGCCCATTTGCACATCAAACGGCCACCTGATTATATTAAAGACAGTGATATAAGAGCTGTGCATCTGCTGCTAATATTTGAATCGGCGCTGGACGGGAGTGGACGGAGGCGACGGCTGGCGTGAGTGTAACGTGTGGAAGAAGGGCCGCTTCTCCGGAGGCTGGTTCTCCACGCCTCTCTTCTTGCAGGAGCCGGACGCTGGAGGAGGCTGTTTGCTCTGCGAGCGCACCAGCAGCCCGTCTGTCCTGCGCAGATCTGCTTTGACCAGCTGCAGACTAGTGTGCAGCTCCACCAGCATCTGATCCTGCAAACACAGAACGGCAGAGGAGAGGCCGAACCACACGGTGTGATTTCATGAGAAGTAAATGAACCGCTTAGATGAGGAAACCAGCTCAGGAACATCAAGATTACAACAGACAGCCTGTTAGTAAACTGAATCAGTGCAAGCAGTTCAGAGGAAGGGATGCGTGTGAATCTTGTGCATCGTTCTCATGTTAGTATTCGGTCTGAATCAGTGTGGAAGGAGTTCAAGAGAGAAACAGAGGAAGAGTTAGTTGTTCATCCAGCTAGACATTGTTGAACATCAGTAATATCGCAAATAAATCTTACTTTCCTTTTTATTACGCAAGAGAGAATTCACAGCTAGCTGTGCATTAAACGATTTTAAGCTAATAGTGGATTATTCCGGTCACTTGTCAGCATTGATAATGATGTTTACAGTGAAACGTGACCGAAAGGGTTGTTTTCATCAGTTACAGCTCGTTAGCTCTCAAATCAGACACAGAGATGAAATAATGCAGTGAGATCACATTTATATGAATTATAGCATTTATTTGAGTTTAGATTATAATCGAGATTGAGAGAGAAAGACAGTTGTGTGTGTGAATTATACCTGCATCTCTCTACAAACGACGAAGCTGAGTTTAGTTGCTTAAACAGCCTTGTTGCTGAGAAATATAATGTAGTGATTCAGTATCGAAGCGATTTTATTAAAAGTGCATTAATCGGTTTTAATGCAGAACTGCCAGCCAATCAGGATCGAGTATTCAGATAGATCATGGTGTAAAACTAATGTGTGTGAGCTGAAGATCCCAGCTAAGACCGAGCCTAAAGTTTGGCTGTATTGAGGCGTAGCTACCTGTTTGGCGAGTCTGCCGTCTGCGGAGGAGAGAGCGATGCGCAGCTTCTCTCCATCAGTGTTACGACAGCACGCTCGTTCTCCAGACTGCAGCTCCACACCCAGCATCTGGAGCTCCAGCCGCAGCTGCTTCAGGCTCTACATGCCAGAAAACAAGCTCATTATTGGAGATCATGTCAATAATCAACGGTGGAGGAACAAACAGGATCTTCATCTCACACACAAACACTAGTAGCAGCTCCTAACAGCAGACAGAGTTAGAAATAATTCCAACCAATCAGCATTACTTGAATTCATTTTACAAACAATAGCGTAAGGTTTGAAGACACTAGAATATTGGAACAACTGTTACTCTTCTGGAAAACAAGACCGATGAAATCAACAGAAGAGAGCTCGATAGAAAAGTCATCATGTTTTCTGTTAAAAACGAATCAAAATGAAGCGAGTTTATGATTACAACAAAACCAATATCTGCTAATGGTCTCTGAAAAGCAGCTGAAACTCCCAGAATGACAGATATTTGTTCTTGTTTTAAAGCAGCTCAATTGTTCAATTCATCATTAAGCATCTCCAATAAAACTGTATGGGAAAGAAAAGAACATGTTGATTTTTTGCAACATTTAAAGCCACGACTTTATGCCTTGATTTTTTTAGGCCTTAATTTGTAGAAGACCTTTCAAGACTCCCAGAAATCCTGATTATGAACAGACATAAATTAACAATGAACAATATTATATTTATAAAGTCATAGTAGCCTTAGGGATTAAAGCCAAAAATAAATACAAATCTTTTGGCCGTGTCATAAATCATTTACTACTGAAGATGTTTTATAACAGCTTTTCTGAAATAAGTGACACTATCTGCAATCATCGTCAGTTATTGCTCTTGATCTAGTGCTGATTAAAATTACACATGAGAATAAGTTTTTTTAACCGTAACTCATAACTCGATTTGACACATTACAAGAGCACGTCTTCACACGGGTTATTTCTTCGTCCTCACAGTTTTATCAGTGTTTAAGAGCCTCTTCCACAGCTCTCGGTCTCTAGCTGTACTGCTCTAAACCACCTCTGAAGCGTGTTACGAGCACTGACGGCTGTGCAATACATCTCCATATTTTCTGGGATTTTATCGATAATGACAATTAGATGATATTGTGTTATTGTGCTGGCATCTTAAACTGACTCAAAGTTTTTGATATTCTCCATATTCTGTGTGGTGGTCAGTTCACACTGATAGAAATTCATCTTTTTCAATACGTTTAAGCTGATTTTTACCTTTATAAAGCCATTTTTCTAAAAGTGTGCATTATCTTTTGAGTCAAACTCTTGCATTTAATTAGTGAATTAGAATAATAAGACATTTGGGCTGTTACCAAGCAAATTAAATCAGTATCAGCTAAATTCATCTTTGCAGCGCAGAGGAAACACAGAGCTGCGTCTGAGGCGGCGTTTAGATGCATTTACACACTGTTTAGTGCAGGACATGAATGCATTTAACCTGCAGTTACAAATGCATACATAATAGTTTGATATATTAAACATAAAACGTTGAATACTGATATTTGAAATTATTTAAATAATTAAAAGATACTTTAAATGTGAAATTAAAACCGCCAGTAGGTGGCAGCAAGTCACTGTTAATAAGTGAGTCACTGCGATTGAACCGAATCATTTAAACGCTTGATTCATTCAGGAACGAAACACCGTCATGTTGCTCAGAGACGCACAACAGTGCTGTGGCTGTGTTTGGAATTATTTGTATTGGCGAAATAGCACAAAAACAGTAGGGGTGTTTGGAATGGTTTTTGCAAAATACTTGATAATGTCAAATCGCA